GAGAGTCAGAAGTCTGGTCCTTGCTCTCAGGTACTGCCTTCTGCAGTGTGGCCAGGCCCACTCCAACTGGGGGCAGTGTCAGGCGAGGTTCTAGCCCTTCTGGGCAGGGCCCACCCCAGGGTCCGGCACAGCCTGTAGGGGCAAAGGCTCTGACCCAAGAACAAACACTGATCTTATCTGTATCCTGGTGACAGTGATTCAAGTGAGCAACAGATGTTTACCAAGTACCTTTCAGGTGCCAGTGGTGTGTCCAGGCCTTGGTGTATCGCTGTGAGCTGCAGGGACATGGCCAGGAGGATTGGCTGTGCAAATGGGAACAGAGCCTGGCACACATTAGCTGCTTTTTACTATGGGTTTCCTTCCCTTCTTCCATTTGCCAGGCAAGCTCAGAAGGCAGTAGCCAGCAGAGCAATCCTACAGCAGTCCCTGTGCCAGTGTCCTGGTCTTGGATACCAGGGCATCTCCTGCTCCCCACTTATCAAAACAGCAGCTATTCTTTTGGTGACAGGGCAGGATGCCCAAACCCTAGAGGTCAGCAAGACCATAGGACTGACTGTCCAGGCCAAGCCCGGGCTCTCTGGATGGAGCCAGAACCGGCATCTTCCCGGCTCCTGGGCACAGACGGATCTCCTGGGTCCCAAATGCCTCCCAGTCCCAGCCTGTCTGTCCCCAGCCCTCCCCTAACGCAGTGGGATTCGATCCCACAGCATGAGGGCCACCCAGCAGTGTGGGAAGCAGACAGCAACGCTGAATCCCCAGTAGCCAGCCACCTGGGGCCTGGCCCACAGACCCCCCCACACACACACACACTGGTTTCCAGCGGCCCGCCACTTCCGGACGCGCTCCAAGCTGCCAGGTGTCTCCGCCCAGGTGCCCAGAGGGCCGGCCCGGAAGGGAACCCAGTCAGGCGGCGATGACTCAGGCGGTGAGATCTCAGGACTGTGGTTTGAGGGACAGGGCACAGCGGTTCGAAGCGCCCCTTCTCGGGGACGGAGGTGAGGACAGCCCGAGGCGACCTCCCTCAGGGGCCACAGCGGAAGATAAGGGTCGGAGGACCCGGGCGCCGACGTTTCCCTCCGCGTGGGCCCCCTCGGGTGTGGCGGGGGAGCCACCGGGCCGGAGCGGCCTAGGCGCCACCTGCTGGTGCCCGAAAGCAGAGTCCACGCGGTCTGGTGGCGCCACCTGGTGGCACCTTCAGGAATCGCAACCCGGCCGCGCTAACCCGCGCGACGGAGACCGCGAGCGGCTGCGGCCAAGGCTTCCTCCCTCCGGGGCCGCGGCTTAGAGCCCCGCCTCGCAGGCCCCGCCGAGACCCGCTGGCCCTCTCTGCGCGGAGCCGGCTCTCGCAGCCCCTTGGGTCCCGGGGGCCTGGCCTCTCAGGGAAGCTCCTTTCATCCCTGTCCCCATCTCTTTGGCCTAACTCCCCGAACTTCCGTTTCTCCCGCTGAAAGGGCGACACTGACAATACCTCGAGCTAGTCTGGGGATCAACGGGGCAGGACGACCCCGCAGCCGCTGGGCCTGCGCCCCCCACGCCAGGCTTCGGTCCGGGTGCTGGGAGGTCAGAGATGAGCTGCGCGAGGGGACGGGGCGCTTTGCCCTCAGTGGGCGACGCAGCAGGTGCCCACCAGACGCCCCCTCCCCTCCAGAGCCCCGGGGCTTCTGGGGCAACTTCCGGGCCCCCTGACCGGGGAGAGGGACTTTAGCAAAGTTGAGCCCATGCAGCCCTCCCCTGGAGGCCGGGTACTCCCGGGCAAGGCGATGGGGGTCCTTCAAGCAAAGCCCTGCCAGGCGCGGGACAGCCCCGTCCCGTCACCAGCCACCGATGACTGCCCCTGGGACAGTTCCGTTCCAGTCTGCGAAGGCCTGGCAGCCAGAGCCCTCTGCCCCTCACCGCCCTGTGTCTGTCCAGGACCCCTACCCTCACCGTTCATTCCATGTGGGGACCGCCGCAGAGTGGGGGTGGGAGAATTAAAACGGAGAGAACGACGATGAAAAGACACAGTTGTTTTATTTGGGCAGCCCAGGGTTCGGAGCGGGGGCAAAGGCAAGAACCTCATAATCCTCTAGCAGAGCGTGCGGAGGGAGCCAAAAGGGACAAGCGTGGCCACTTCCAGGGCCCAGACCGCACCTGAGACCAATTATTTCTGAATCTTGAGGGTGCTATGTTTGTGTCCCGCAGTCTAACTCCCGACGGAAGTGAGGCCTTGAGACGTTATTGGGTATAGAGCAGGTCAGGGGGCGGGGCCCTAAGGATGGGATCAATGCTCTGATCAAAGGAGGAAGCATCAGAGAGCTCTGAGCGTGTGCATCTGGGGCACCAGGAAGGGGGGCTCTCCCTGTGAACCCCACCGTTCTGGCTCTCCATTCTCAGGCTTCCAGCCTCCAGATCCATGAGAAATACAGGTAGGTTGATTAAGGCACCCGGTCTATGGTAATTTACTATCATGGCATGAACTAAAACAGGCAGTAGCGGGTAGAGGAGACAAGTAAAGAGTTTGAAGCTCCCAGGTGTCAGCATGCAGGCAGGGTTGAGAACTACTAGGCAAAAGCTTGGAGGGACGAACACACACACCTGCCAGGAATGTGAAGGACAGGAGTCAGGGGCGAGAAATGAAGGCCAGCAGGTCACACTGGGCCATTTTCTCAGAAGCATGGTACAATTCTTGCTAACAAATAAAATAAGCTAAGGAGCAGGACTTTTAGCATGCATAATGTGCCACTCTGCCAACCTCCTTGTCTGCATTGGAACAGAAGGGAGTGATTGAGAGGTCAACAGACCCTGGAAGGAAATCGCTTCTGTGTTTCTGAGGATGTACGTGGTTCATCTTTGAATGCCCTGAGCCTGGGAGCCAGCCAGTACTCAACGTTCCTGGCACTGAACGTCAGCCAAATTACACACTCTCATTTGCATGGCCAGTCTTGATTGCTTCTGGGGTTGAGGTAGCTGGGCCGATGTGGTTGAGGAATGTCAAGAAAATCTACAGAAACTTCAGCCTCTGGGACAGTTGCCTTGAAATCCCATGACTGGTGTTTTTTGTTAGTCCTTGCTTACCCCTTGTCAATTCTATGGCCTGAGGTAGGTGTTGCAAGGGCTGAAGAGACAGAACACCTAATATCTGTGGAAAGAAGGGAAAGACCCACAAAGAGATACCGACTAGCTAGTCCTTGACACTGGCCGGAACCAAAGATGGCACCATGAAGCTCTCAAAGATGGGAGTGTCCTTCCTTTTCAAACCAGAACCTCCAGGCATTTTTCTTGGGTTCTCCCCTGGAATATCACACACCATTTTCCCAGGGACTAATTTTGCTAATCACAGGACCCAGGTTGATTTTTTGCAAGAGGGACTCAGAAGACACTTCTAATAAGCAATGAGGGAAGTAGTAAACAACTCGTGCTCTTTGGCAGTCATCCAAGCAGCTCACACACTACCTTGCTACTGGTATATCCTGTTCCAGGCTAGGGCCTCTGGAGTGACTCTGAGACAAAGATTTGAGGTCAAGTGAGTTCTCTGGGCAGTGGTCTCAGGAAGGCCCAGTAGAGGAATGGGGAAGTGGCCTGGAGCTGAGGCAGAAGGGCTCTAGCTGGCCTGGAGTAGGGGAGGCAAAGGGAGCTAGTGTGCCAGGGCATAGGGATGGGACATCTCCCACATCTGCCACCCAGAGCAGCATGTTCATATGTCAACCCACTCAGGAACAGCTCAGGACTGTGTGGCCCAGTGAGTGCCAACCCTGTCCTGAACCCATCCATTCATCAGCCACCCCACTCAGGAGCACCATCCATGTGTGGGCCAGTGAGAAAAGCAGTCTACACAGCATCTTGCCATCAGGAAGTCTCCCAGAGCCCTGTGAACACAGGTGACAGTCCTACTGAGTAGCATCAGGGGCTGGGATGGGGCTGGCCTTGCATGCATTCATGGAGTCAGTCAAGAAAGTGGTTGCTTAGATTAGCTCTATCGGGGATAGCAGGGAGCAGCTTGGGAAGATTTTAATTTAGTGGAAAGTACATATTCAAGTACAAAGAAAAGTACACAACAAAGGTGATATGGCTTGTATCTAGATGTCCCCCACGCAAGCCTCATGCACTCATAGGTGGGGTTTTTCAGAGCTGGATGGATCTAGAATGTGTGATACTGGAATTAAGGGTATGTGGCACTAAATTAGTCCACTGCTTGATTTAACATAGTTCTGGATGTGGATAACGTGAAGGCCCACCCTGGGTATGGGTAGCACCACCCAAAGGCTCATATCCCGGATGGCATAAAAGGGAAAGGGAGGCTTGCTTCTTGCCTGCCATCCCATGGACTGTTTCTCCTCTCCCATGCCCCTCTGCCACACCACCCTGCCTTGGAGCCAGCTGACTATGGATCAAAACTTCCACAAACTGGGAGCCAAAAGAAACCTATCCTTCTTTAACTTTGGGTGTCAGGTATTTTGTCTTAGCAAAAAAAAAGGAACTAAGACAAAAGGTAATTTTTTTGCTCATGTCACAAAAAAACAGGGACATCATCAGATTTTCTCACCTTCATAAGTTGGTGATTTTTTTTAAATGGGAAAAAATGGCATTGTGATGCATGCCTGTAATCCCAGCACTAAGAAGCTGAGACAGAAGGACTGAAAATTCAAACACAGCCTGAGCAATTTAACAACTTAGCAAGACCCTATCTCAAAATACAAAATAAAAAAAGGTTAGGGATGCAGCTCAGTGTGAAGGTCCTGGCTCAGTAAATCCCGAGTGCCACCGCTACAAAAAAAAATGCAGACAGGAATATTAGCTAGATTTTTGAATCATAGTTGTGGATTTTCCTGCAGGTCCTGGTACAAAGGGCATTGGCCAGATTTCAGCAGGGTCTCAAGACTGACCTCAGCGCTCATACAGGAATTCTCAAACCTCAAGGTTTCAGACAACAGGCTTCAGTCCCACTGGTTTTAACCACATCACCCAAAGACAAGGTGAGAAAACCATCTCAGCCTGTCAGTCACTTGAGAGATATGGAGCCTTCACTTTTTAACAAGGTGGTAAAACTTCCTTTTGGCAAAGAACAGCATGAGATTTATGTAGATTTCAATGATCCTATTTTGCATCAACTTGAAAGCAATACACACGATCTCCATCCCAATGATGATATAAATGGAGAAGAACAAGAAGAAGTGAGGGTGATTTAACTTAATATCCCCAAAGCCGATGGTGGTCAGTGTGACAAAACAGAAATAGAAGGCCTCCTCAAAGTTCATCTCAGTCTCCCAGCAGGGCAAGATGGCAGCTGCACAGGAAATGTAGGCAAAGATCACAAGGGCGATGACGGGGAGGGGGATGTCCAGCCTCTCCACTTCCTGTCCCACCTCATCCAGGTTGCTGATGATGGAGCAAGAGAGTCTTCCCAGCCTCAGCTCAGGACACGAGCTGCTCTTCTCCATGGTACGTGGGGGCAGTTGGAGCAAGTTCTCTTGCTGTCTGGTGACAAATCTCTCAAACAGCTCTGCGTTGGAGCCTGGGGCTGGAGGACGCTTGCCAGAATTAGGGCCAGGGAGCTCTCCATCATTAACAATGATCTGCGGGATGGCTTCATCCACAGGGTGGGAGTCAGACTTTCTTCTGCGGTGCAGTAGGGAGCACCACTTGAAGGGGGAACAGTGGAAGAAAGGGACTGTCCGTAGCCCATTGTAAGATTTGGATAAAACACTTGCCAGGATGTCACCTATGTCTGTAAGGACCAAGAACATCAGCGGGATTCCAAAGAGGGCGTACAGCATGCACAGGTACCTGCCAAGCCTTGTGACAGGAAACATGTGGCCATAGCCTGAAAAAGAAGACAGAACCTAGAGTAGTTGTCTGTTTCCCAACCCCCTCAGAAGTTTTAAAGACGCTTCCTGGTATTGCTCCTACCATGACATTGTACACAATGTATTTAAAAATATGCAACATGAGCTACAGTATGGATTGGTGGTAAAGCGTGTGCTTGGCATGCATAAAGCCCCAGATGCAATCCCTAGCACCAAAAAATGAATACATAAAAAATGAAATATTCATCTTGAAGTTTTCACCACTTGTGCAGCATTAGGTCTGGCTCAGCGGAAGGATGGTATGATAGTTAACTGTTGTGTCAACTTGAGAAAGAAACATCCAACTGATAGGCTTTGCATAGTTCCAGGTGTGGATGATAGACTTACTGAAGAGGGAAGACACAGCCTTGAGTATTGGTGGCACCAATCAATAGGCTTATAGCCTGGATGGAATAAAAAGGTAAAGAAGAAGGGAGGTGCTGTTTCCTGCCTACCATGTCATGGACTGTTTCTCCTCTGCCATGCCCCTCTGCCATACAGCTTTGCTTCGGAGCCAGCCGACTATGGAGTAAAACCTTTACAAACTCTAAGTTAAAGTAAACCTTTCTTCCTTTAACTTGTGACTTTTGGGTATTTTGTCTCAGCAACAAGAGAAGTAACTAAGACAGATGGGAATGAAACCAGCTTCTCTTTAGAATAAGGAGCAACTCCTATCCAGATGTTTGACTTCAGCTGCTCTTGGCAGGGGACAAACACACATTTTGGGGAGAGATGATTGCGTTTCATCCTGCTGAGGCTGTTTCTGAGTGTCCTTAGGAGGATGGGCTCAACTCATCTGGATGGACAGGAAGAACACAAGTGACAGGCAGTCATATTCACCACCTTCTTCATCTTTCACAGACTCTGTTTTTTAAGAAGCCACCCTTGACCTCCCTGGCATGTCTGAACCTCTTGCTTTCCTTGTTTTTATATAGTAGGCACTTATTCTATGCCAATAGTATGTGTAGTATTAGGGACAATAGACAGAAGAGACAAGCTGCCCTCAGAGCCATTTGTGGTTTAGATGAGATAGACATGTTCATAAATGACAGGGAAGCTGTTAGCCTCCAGCATCCAGAAGCTGACAGCCTTGGTTCAAATTCTAGCTCTGCTATTTACTGTACTGTTACTTGACTGCTGACATTTGGAGGTTTCATATCTGTAAAGTAAGAGGTGACAGTCTCTACTTACATAGTGACAACCTGGGAGGATTCCACAGGGCTGGGAATTGCCATACAGTAAATGACTGAGTACAGTGTCTTCACCTTCTGGAGCCAATAGGTGCCTACCGCACTTGCTGTGGTGGGTATTGACCAACCTTCTTAGGTCGGTGTCATTATTACAATTGACAGATGGGGAAACTGAGTCATGGGAAAGTGAAGTCCCATGGCCAAGTATACATGTGACAAGTAGCGGTCTGATCCACAGGGCCGCTCAGGCCCACGCCATGCTCCCAACCTCAGGGGCATTCGCAGAAATGGGCCCTGCAGCCAGGGAGACCACTGAGCAAGCAAAGGAAGTGGCAGCCTGGCGTCTCCATCTCCACTGGGGGCTGCTCCTTCCGCCCTCCCCATGCCCCGCCCTCTGCCGACTGAGGGAGGGGCAGAGACAAAGCAGCTCTACCATGCAGGTGCTTGCAGCCTCTGGGGTGGGAAAGCTCAGATGACTTCAATAAGCAGAGGAAGAAGCTTTTGTGTTTCGTGCCTGTTTAATTTTTGATGTCATAAAGGATAATGAATTCAGAAAATGCCACCCAATTATTTAAATTAATTTGAAGGCAATTCCTACGCTGGCCAAGTGCCAGCCTGCCCAGGACTGCTGCTCCCTGTGGCAAAGTCCTGCCCAGGCTATCCTCCTGGGGGCAGGGTGGCGCTCAGGATGCCCGCATCACCAGGGTCCCCAGTGCAGGGGGATATGTGGCCCTGGAAGGGGTTCTCGGTTTGCATCTGGGGCACCACTGGTGGTGGAGCTGTTAAACTCAGTGTGTGCATTCAGTGAGAGTTTATAGGGTGCATGCTGCCTGGACTGGGGACATGGTAGTGAGAAAAGTAGATACAGGATCCTATCTTGCTGGGCTTCTGCTTTAGTGAGGAGGTAGGTATTAACAAAGCAGCCACATTTGTGAGAATCCCATTACAGAGGTCAATAACAGAGGGTAAGGCTGCAGAGTGTTCTCTATGAGGTTAGAAGAAAGGCACCTGTCCTGGAATTGGCCTCTGGAACAGTGACTCTGAGCAGAGATGGAGAAGGGGATCAAGAATTAGACAGGCCAGGAAGCAGCAGCAGCACATGCAAAGGCCCAGTGGTAGGTATGAGAAAGGGCTGTTCACACAGACTGACTGAAAGCTGAAATTCAGCCTGCTGTGCACTCACAGAGCTATGGGCCCAGGGCTCAGGGCACAAGGCCATGTCCGCCTAGCAGAGAGGTGGCTTTCTCAATGTTTACTCAAGCTTTGCCCTGAGTGAGGAACCAAAAGGCCAGTGTGGCAGTGGATACAGGAGCGGGGAGAGGCTGGGAAGATGGGCAGGGTCTAAGGACTCACAGGACAGAAGGGGGGTGGGGGGCTGAAAACCACCCCTCCCCAGTCTTCATTCACGGATTGGAAAGAGAGTCTGCAGATGTGGTTAAGGAGCCTGAGAGGAGGAGATTTTATCTGTGTGGGCCCTGAAGGCCACCGTGAGTGAGCTATCAGGGAAAAGCAGAGGGACACTTCACACACAGAGCATACGGCAGCCTGGCATGGTGGCCAGGCATGGTGGCACATGCCTGTAATCTCGGCTACTCAGGAGGCTGAGGCAGGAGGATTCAAAGATCAAGGACAGCCTGGGCAACTTAGTGAGATGCTATTTGAACATCAAATAATAAAAAGGGGCGGGGATGAAGCTCAGCAATTGATGGGCCCAATCTCCAGTACTGGGGGGAAAAAACTGTTGGCAACCACCAAGCTGCCTGGAGACTCTGGAGGGCTTGTGGCCCCACCCATAGCTTGATCCTTGATGTCGGTGCAGTAGATTTCACACTTCTGGCCTCCAGAACCGGACACATTCTGTGGCTTTAAGTGGCCAAGTTTGTTACAGCTGCCATAGGAGATGAACTCTTTCGGGTCTGCACCCTGAAAAGATGGCCTGGGCTGCAGGGAGATGGCGGTGCCATTGCAGGGCCAGTGGCCCCAGGAAGGCCAGCAGGGAGGTGCTGGTGCCCATCCCAGGCAGAGGCTGTGCTTGGCAGAGGTGGGAGAAGCGCAGAAGCGTGTGGTCTGGCTGGACATCAGTTTGGGCAGAGATCTCAGCAGGACAGAGGGCAGGCTTGGATCTGGGGTGTCAGAAAGGAGCTGGGGATTTAAGCACAGAGCAGGCAGGCCTGAGTCCTTGGTCAATAGACTGAGCCATTGATGAGTCCCCACCCGGAGAAGTTTTGCACACAGAATCCAGAAACCCACAGATGAGAGGCAGCAAGGCATGATGGTTAGGAATGTGCGCTCTGAAGCCAGGCATGATGGCTTGTGCCCCTAATCCTAGCACTCTGGGGAGCTGAGGCAGGAGGATCGCAAGTTCAAGCACAGCCTGGAAACTCAGCAAGACCCTGTCTTAAAATTTTTAAATATGGTAATAAAGAAGGGCAAAGGGCCGGAGATTGAGCTCAGTGGTTTTGCCACCTGCTGCGCAAGCGCAAGGACCTGAGTTCGATTCCCGGTACCAAAAAAATAAAAATAAAATAAAGAAGGGCTAGGAGGTAGCTTGATGCAAAGACCCTGAGTTCAATCCCCAGTTCTAGAAAAAAAAAAAAAAAAAAAGAATATGTATTCTGGAATCAGGCATGAAGGAAGGAACTAGGCAGCTTGCTCTGTGACTCCCAAGATCTGTGACTTTTTTTTGTTTTGTTTTAAGATCTGTGACCCTGACCCACGGGCTTTATTGCTTGCTGCCTCAGTTTCCTTGCGTATGAAAGGAGAGAACACTGGTCCCCAAGTTACTGGGTAGTTGAGGGAATTAAATGATTATTCCACGTGAAGGGCGTAAAACTGTGCCTGGCCGGTAGTAAGTGCTCGGCCTTGTGTGTTTTCAGGAGACCAGGGTTTCTGAGCCCTGAGCAGGACGTGTGGTCGGCTTAAGCACAGACGGTTCTGCTGGAGTGGGGTCACTTTGCAATTCCAAGTTCAATGGGAGAGAGTTTTGGCTTCTGTTGTGCAACAGCCAGGAGAGGCGGGGTCTCAGCGGTGGGCGTGGCTAAATCCAGAATGAATGCGGGGATCCCAACCACCTCGGCGGCCTGGAAGGCTGAAGAGGACGCGGAACTTCGCTGCTCAGTGGAACACGTCTGGATGCCCACGTGAGTTGGGGCCACTCTTTTCGTTCATTCATTCATTGTCTTTTCAGACAGAGCAATCCCTTTCAATGGAAGGTGGGTCTGATCACAACCCTCCGAAGCTTCCGGCTCACTCAGGGTAAAGCCCGACTTCAGCCCCAACTTGACCTCTACCCTCCCCTCGCTGGCTCTGCTCCAGCCACACTCACCTGCCTACTTGCCCTCAGAAAGCCTAGGGCGGCCCCCAGCCCAGGGCGCTGCACTCACTGCGCTGCGCCTGAAAAGTGGAACTCCAAATACCCCACGGCTAGCCCCTCGCTCCCTCAGGTCTGCTCGCTTGCTCCTCAGCAGGGGCTGTTCCCTGGCACCCCACTGAGTCACAGCCTCTGTCCCCCCACCCCAATCCCTTCCTTACTCTGCTCCCTAAAATCCATGACTTTGTAATCGACTCGGAATATTTATTGTCTCTCACCACCTGGGTGGAGAGTTTTGTCTATTTTATTCCTACACATCTGTCACTGTGTCTAGAACAGTGTCCTGCATATCGCTGAAAGTTGAATGAGCCCCTTTATCGAGTACCTATTTATGTCAGGCACGTAGGGGTGGGATTGGGGCACAAGAAAGCGCAGGGAGAGATTGCTGTCCCTCTGGGGCGTGGGGCGGCTCTCCGGCAGTTCCGTGAGCTGGGCTCTGGATGTCGGCCCTGGCCCCAGGCCTGGGTGGGCATCGGTGGGCCACCAGCTTGGAGGATGGCAACAGCAGCCATAAACAGGGAGCCACCGTCTTTCCCAGGCAGTGCGCAAGCCCCACAGTTGTCATGCACGCCTGGGGAAGCCAGAAGAGGTGCTCCAGCGCAGCTAGTGGCCGCTCAGCCTCCAGGGTGGGGGCCAGGGTTAAACATATTTTTATTTAGCAAATTTCTTTCTTTCTTTCTTTCTTTCTTTCTTTCTTTCTTTCTTTCTTTCTTTCTTTCTTTCTTTCTTTCTTTCTTTCTTTCTTTCTTTCTTTCTTTCTTTCTTTCTTTTTCTCTCTCTCTTTCTTTCTTTCTTCTCTCTCTCTCTCTTTTCTTTCTTTCTTTCTTTCCTTCCTTCCTTCCTTCCTTCTTCTTCCATGCTACTGGAATTGACCCCAAGGCCTTGCACTGAGCTATACACCCCCAGCCCCTTTAAAAATGGTTTTTTAAAAATTTTTGGACACTTGGGTCAGGGATTTAGTTCACTGGTTCCACTGCCTGCCTCACAAGTGCAAGGACCTGAGTTCAATCCCCAGTACCCCAAAATAAATAAAATAAAATAAATTTTGGGACAGTGTCTCACCAAGTCTCCAAGTCACTCAGGGTGTCCTTGAACCTGTGACCCTCCTGCCTCAGCCTCCCTGAGTGCTGGAATTAAAAGCATGCATCACTGCACCCACCTAAGTATCTAACACTTCTTGCAGGATTTGTACCTTTTAAAGTCAAAATTCCCTGCACAGCCAAACCCCTAATGCTGGCAGTCTCCACTATTACTTGCATTTGATAGACAAGAAATAGAGAAATCTGGTGACTGTTCGGGTCACACAGCCCGTAGTTGAGAAGGCTCTGCGCCCTTCCCTGAAGACCTTGCCTGTGGCATGCCCAGCCCAGGGGTCCCCCCAGCAATTAGGGGTTTGGTGAGTTTCAGACCAAGAACCCCATGGCCACCTCCGAGTGAGGTGTATTTACGTCCCAGAAGACATGCCGCATTCCAGAATATGTCCGGAGAAGCGAGTCTCCAAGAACACACAGCTCCTATTAAGGGAATGGATTAACCCAATTACTGAAAGCCAAAATGCGTAATGCAGGACCGCATTGCTCCCTATAATGCATCCACACCGATTCCGATAAATCAGCCCACTGCACTTAGCATGGGACCTTTTAACAGTCAGGCATCTTCTGTTCTGCTCCAAAGGGGCCCCACCCACCTCACCCTCTCTTAGCATGGGGCCCAGGTGCATTTCAGGTGACCCTGAGATGCAGGGCAGGAAGCAGTATCATCAGAGGGCCCTTCAGGCACCATTATTGATTACAGACCACGTAGCACATGCTCAGCATCCCCTTCCAGGGTAATTATCAGCAATATGATCTCGTAATTCACTTGGGCAATGGGTAGTAGCTTTGCTTTCTTGAGATTTAAACCAAGCTAATGCAGTTCCATTAGATCACTGATTTTGAGCCTGGACTGCCATCAGAATCATCTGGAGGGCTCTGAAAAATGCTGATGCCTGGGTGTGGCCCCGAGGTCCTGACTTGATTGGTCCCAGGCAGGATCCAATCATGGGAACTTGTAAAAGATGTACACAGGATTCCAATGTGCAGCTGGGCTGAGAACCTGGGCACTCAGTTAGTGCTTTCTCAAGTGTTAGCTTGCATCAGAATCATGTGGAGAGTTGAACATGCAGATTGCCGTGCCCACATGTGCAGCTTCCAGCTCAGCAGGTCTCAAATTGGGCCTGGAGTTTGCGTTCCTAGCAAGTTCCCCAGAGATGCAGAGGCTGCTGCCTAGGAGCCACACTTCCCCGTCACTTCTGCAGATCCGTGGTCTGGATCAGGGCATATCTGGAAGGCTCGGGAGACATTTTTGGCTACACAGCGGATGAGGGAATGGGGGAAGAACTCGTGCATACATCAGGTAGAGGCCCGAGATGCTGCTCAGCTTCCTCCAGTGACACCCCCCACCCACCCCGGCCACCCGGTGACAGAGAAGCATCCAGCCCGGGAGGCCACAGGGCTTGCGCTCTCATGGGCCCAGAGTGCGGCTTTTGTACCGAATTCCCACCCTACTCACTCACCTCCGAGGCCCTTGAAATGTTTTCACCGCTGGACTCTCCACCCCCGTGCAGCTCCCCCAACTCTGCTCACAGATCCCCTGAGCCCACCATGGTCACACACAAACCACACTGGTTGCCTGCAAACACTTCCGTCTTGCCTAAGAGGCTGTGGGCCTCCACGAGGGCTGGGACCACGTCTGGCCTGCTTCCTGTGCTTTGTGCAGGAATGCTCAGGAGAGAGGGCAACAGAGGCCAGCAGCCAGCCTACACCAGCTTGTGGGGCCTCTGCCCATGCAGGAAGGGTTTGCACAGTGGTGTGGGTAGGCCTGGGGCAGCCCTGCTCTGCTTGCCCTGACTCCTGATGGGAACAGTGCCTGCCTACACCCCACAGGCAGGCCCGGCACAGGGGAGGCGATCACAGTCAACCCTTCCCTGCATTTAATGGGGTGAATGTCCAAGCATCCTGCCCAGAGACTCCTTGCTCCGCCCAGTCTCTCCCTGGCAGGCTGTGGGCGGTGGGCACGGGAGGACCTGCCTTCACACTTACCCACCGTGCTCAACACCGTGCAGCAGAAAAAGAGTGCGCCAAGGAAGTTCCAGTCTTCTGCCGTCTGGGGCCACCACTCGGGCTTCACCTTCTGTAGAAGTTTCAGCACTTCCAGTTTTTCATCTTCTGAGGTCGGAGAAAGAGCCTGGTGAGGCAGATGCTCTGCGCATCGAATGGCGACAGTTCGGCCCACGCCGAGGGGACGGGGTCTTCCTGAGGACCAGAGGCTCCCCGCTCTGGGGTCCCCCTCAACATCAATGCCATCAAACGTTTCTGCAGCTCAGTTCTTGTCCCCATTCCCTTCACAGATGGGAGGCTGGGTAGCCCGGTGAGAGGAACCCCTAACACGTGGCCCTGACTGTCACCCTGAGCTCAGCCCAGAACTGCGGCACGGCCTCTGGGGGCTCCCTTCACTGTGAGAATTTCTTTCACCTTTCAAAAGGGGATAAAAAATTATGCTCTGTCTCTCTCATGGGATTCCTAGGAACAGAAAGCAAAGTGGCTTTTAGGAAATGGAAGCCATAAAATGGATGCAAATCATACCCACAACTGGAGGGCAGTAGGCCCATGGGATGTGGTGGTCATACCAGGTTCCTAGCACTGGCTCCTAAGGCTACGTCTTCCAGGCTAGGAAGCAGTGGCTTCAAAACACAGACCCCAGCTGAGAAGGGAGAGCTGGGAACCCTGGTTTTCCACAGAAGTTCCCAAGTGGTTCTGTTGACCTGGGCAGCCAAGGGGCTGGCTACCCCAGAAGCTGCCCACCAGGCCCTGGTGTGGAAGGGAAAAAGATGGCACCCTGCCTGGCACATAGGGGAAGTTGCCACTCCTTTGGATGGCGCCAGCTGGGAGTTCATTCTAGGCTCAGCTTTGACCCTGGCTAGTTCCTGTAACCATGGACGGGAGGTTGCTCTCCCGAACTCAATTTCCCTATCTGCAAGGCATGACATGGCGGCAAAAGACTCAGACTCTGGAGTCTAGATGCCCAAGTTGAATCCCTGGCTCTGTTTTTCCAGTTTGTGAATTTGGACCAGTTGTTTAACCTCCCTGTGCCTCAGTTTCCAGATCTGAAAAAGGAGGACAATTTATATCTAACCTGCAGTGTTCTTGGGAAGATTCAGTGGGGTACTATGTGGAAAGGGTTTGGCCCAGGATCTGCATTTAACTAGTATTTAAAAATCATGTTAATCTTCAACAAAAATCAGTACAAAATGGAGTTGTATTCTCGTGCCCTACTTTACATTGAAATCACTCAGGAAAATTAAGATTTCCAGCCTGCCATTGAGATCTTGACAAAATGGGGCTAGGAAGAGGGTGGGAAAGTGTATATTAGACAAACTCCCTGGATAACTCTGAAGTGTGGGCTGGTTTGGAGAGCTTTGAACTTGCTGTAGGTCAAGCTCCCTCGAAGTGGCTAGGGCACCTCCCAGGTGTCTGTCCGGCAAGGGGACACAGTACAACCTCCCCCAAGAGGAGATGCAGCCTCCCTGGACCCACCTTGAGCCAACCCCAGCTGAAAGAATCTGCTCCGGACAAGGCCAGCCTGGGGAGGGGGCCTAGCAGGGCCTGAGCCTGGCCACATCAGGGAGTGAGGGACAAGCTTCCAGCACCCATCCCTGCCCTGGCTTTGAGAGTCCGTTTATCCTTTATCTTTTATTCATGCACTTTCTCGCTTTCTGTTCCTCCATTGAATACATCTTCACAAACTTCCTTTGGTAGAAGCACGTGACTAAATACAAACGGACTGCAATATGGACAACTGTAAAGTGCCTTCCATCTCCAAGAGCTTTAGGTCCTCCATCTGCTGTGATTCCCACAAAGCCTGAACTCTGGGTGGCCTCCTTCTCTGCAGGAGAGGAATCACACAGCCAGGTGGGAGAGCAACGGGCATCAGGCCAGGCCCCTGAGTCCTTCTCACAGCCCCTCCCCTGCCTCTCAATAGACCAAGTCTTTGAAACAGGAAGTGGACAGCTCGGGGGCGGGGGGGGGTGGTGGCAGGCTGCTTGCTCATCCCGGGGATCCAAACCTAGTTTGGCCGATTCCTTAAATTCTACTCTGCAAACTGAATCTTGGGTCAGGCAGACCTCCCACATTCTGAGGAGCAGTCTAGGAAGCCGCTGGGCCACATCTTCAGCACTTAGCCTGGCCCTCCAAATCTCCAGCCCTCTGTCTGCCTTCCCTAGAGCCTGCCTACAAGGTGGGGTAGGGCTGGGAGCTGCAGCAAAGGAAAGGGAGCTAACCTTTCGGAGATTCCCAGGCTTCATGCTCTTCCTATGTTCTCCACAGTGCTCCTGAGAGGCCGATAATCTCCCCAGTTTCCAGAGGAGAAAAACTGAGGCTCAGAGAGAAGTCACTTTCCTAAGGTCACCCAGGAGTGGGAGGATGCAGGGAGACACCCACACGCAGGGGAAAGGCTCGCCCTGCCCCGGGGAGGCACCCACCTGTCGTGGTATAGTTCAGGATTCTGCACAGCTCACTCAGGAACTTCTGGAACTCGGGGTTATCTTCTGCCCTCTGGACCTGGCGGCCCTCAATCACTGAGAAGAGTGCGGCACCCAGCAACGCGTAGGTCACCAGGCAGCCAAGGAAGCAGAGGCCTGGCAGGAGCTTCCCCAGGCCCACAGGACAGCAGCCGCTGGCCTGGGGCGGCCCTTCAGCCTCCATCTCCAGAGTGCACGGGCAGACAGGAGGAGCTGGAGGAAGAAGCCAGAGCATCCAGGCCCAGCAGGAGCAGGAAGGTGGGAGTGGCTGGAAGGTGGCCAGGCCAGTGCTGAGTGGATGTACATTCACTTCCCCAAGGACTGGCGAAGCGGCCGGAACCCATCACGTTCACTTCATCAGAATTACTCTGATGGCACCCCTGCTATCACCCCAAATTGCTATTGATCCACTGCCAGTGCCAGAGCTGCCGGCAGGGGCTTTAGGAAGATGACGTGGTTATTGTTTTGTGCTGTGTTTGGGCTTCCTCACCCTCAAACTGCAGCTTCCGTTTCCAGGTACCAAGCCCTGTTTTTGGTTTTTAGTCCAGTGATTGTCCTTCCTATAGTTGCCCTCGTCCACCTGATCTCCTGGATGAGCAGTAATAATAATAACAGTACAGCCAGAGCCCCACTGTTTCCAAAGGTCCTTAATCCTGTGTGGTTCTAATAATTGGCCCCAATTCTTCACTCCCCCGTAGCATCGCACCTGCCCTGTGGTCTCACAGTGGACAGAGTATACTTCCTTGACTCTCAGCTTTGGGCAGGCCACCTGATGCTCCAGCCCATTGGATAATAGGAGGCACAGGGATTTTGTCAGCTTCACTGTGACCACAGGCTCTTCCTCCCCTTTCCTTTCACAGGTCTTACCTCCCAATAAACTTTTGTAGATACGCTCGCTCAGTATCTGCTTCAGTCTCTGCTGAAGTTGGCAACAAGAGTATCTGAGGAGCTCTAAGATGGACTTTCAGGACCGGGACACTCAGTACCCAAGTGGAAAGGGCATGGCTCGCAGACAGCGCTGGCACAGGGTGGCTGTCCCATTGTTCACCAATTCACCAGTGTTGGACTGGGGTGGCTGTGGGCTAGTGCAATGATTCCAGTATTTGAACCATACTGGGGCAGTGAAAAATTCAAGAGTAGTGAGTCTGAAAGGCCATTCCAAAGTTTCACTGGTCCCCAAGGGCAAACTTGGGTGAGGGAGGATTCGGGACAATGCATAGACCCTGTTGCTACGGTTGGTCAGAGCGACACCTGGGACTCATCATCTTCCTCCTTCCCCACCCATCCCAACCTCCCCTTGCCTTCTGGATTCTCTGACAGAAGCCAACTCCTTACTTCTGGGCGTCTGGCCCTCAGAAACCATCTCCTTTCTGCACTGTGGTGTCCATTCAGACACAGTGGGGAAAAACTACCAAGAGGCACCTTGGTTCCACCCATGTCCCTCACTGCAGGAAAGCAGTCCCACTTCTGGCTGCTGATCAGGTTGATGTCCCCTGACAGGATACTGAGATCCTAAAATATTCAGGCAGCAGGCATAAGATGTATTTCAATGAACCCATTGCTGGGGTTTTAGATATGTTCCCCTCAGGGACCAGGGTGTCTAGCCCCATAGAGCCCGGAGTCCTGGGGATGGAAGAGGGGGAAGGCATATGGTTGCATTGTCTTCAGTTGGGCGTGGAAAGCAGCACCACTTCTCTGGTCATGGCTCCAGTGACTGACCTTCTGATCAGGCTCCACCTCCTAACGTCATTTTCAGCTAGGATGCCTTCCAAAAGCTCCACTCCTGAACACATGGGGCATGGGGATACAATCTAGACCTTAACCATAGCACCTAGTGTATAAACTACTCCATTTTTATTTTCTTTTTCTTTTTTGAGACAGGGTCTTGTTATGCAGTTCTGGTTTTGATCTCACTATGTAGCCCCAGCTGGCCTCAAACTCATGGTAATCTTCCCGCCTCAGCCTCCTGAGTGCTGGGATTCCAGGTGGACACCACCATACCGGTCTTGTCTGAAGTATCCTGGACTCAGTTGGCCACATTTGAGCCAGTGTGATGGTGGCAGTAGGACTGTGAGAACCCATAACAGAAGGGGACTTTTGTGGGTAAAGTCAGGACCATGAGGGCCAGCTACTACACAGGTCCCCAACCACACAGCTCTCTAATGTGGCCTGAGTTCCTCTGTGGGAGGGAGGGAGGGAGGGAGGGAGGGATTCTCTAACAGTGCCATAGGTCAGCCAGCCCCATTTTCCAAGGAGGAAGGAAGATGGTTAGGGAGAGGCCTAAATCCTCTGCTAATGAGGCCTCAGATGGATGTCAGTCAGCCAGCCATAAAATACCCAGGGTCTTCTGAGGGCCAGATGGCTTGAGGGTAATAAAGGTCTCCACTGTCCCATGGACAGAGATGACATAGATACATGGGCTCATGCACCTAAATACAGTGAGGGGTGAATACAAAGTGAGCTGCAAACGTATTCTCTAGGCACAATAAAGGGATACCAAGGGCTGGGGCAGCCCAGGTGGCCACATGAGGAGATCAGCTCATAGATGCCAGGGGAGCAGAACAAGGGCCAGCTGAGAATGGTCCAGTAGTGTCAGGTCTCCCTAATGGCACACTTTCCAGGTCCTCATGGGGGAACTAATGGTAGCTTTTTCCTCTTGTAAGTGATAGACCATTTTCCTGACTACACAGGATCACAATATACAGGTAAAACAAAACCACACTTTATTTTTATTTTTATTTTTTGGTACCGGGGATCAAACTTGGGACCTTGTGCTTGCAAGGCATGCAGGGGAACCACTGAGCTAAATCTCCAGCCCAAAAACCACACTTTAAAGCCACCCCTGGAGCACCTCCCTCCATCCTGGTAGATGCAATTTGCACAGATAGTGGAGAAAGTGGATAGTATTATTCCAATAGCCAAAAATGAACCCTTCTGATCCATGTATACATCCTCCGAAAATTCACATGAAACCTAAGACCCAAAATGAGAGTATTAAGAGGTGGGGCCATTAAGGGTGGTTAAGTCATGAAGCCAGAGCCCTCGTGCCTGGGATCAGTAACCTTGTAAAGGGCCTGGAGAGAACAGCCTTCCACCCTGTGAGGATGCTACCATGAGAAGATGCCATGAGGGATGGGCCCTCACCAGACCCTGAACCTGCCGGCACTGTGATCTTGGACTTCCAGCCTCCAGGACTGTGAGAAATAAATTTTTGGTCTTTATAAATTACCCAGTCTGTGGCATTTTGTTACAGTAACGTGACGGGACCAAGACAGGAAGGAGAGCATGGCCTCAGCAGGCCTCCCCTCAGCAGCAGCACTAGCTCGTGTGAGCTCTCCTGCTGCCGGCTGCCCTGGAGACATGAGTGCCGTGTTCTTTCCCCTCTTCTCTTTCCTTTTCTTATAGTTTAGAACTAAAATGTCCCCCCCCCAAATCTTATGTGTTAGAAGGTGGTTGGACCAAGATGGGGGCACTATAGTCTAGGTGGATTAATCCACTGATGAGCTCATGAATGTGCTGTTAGGAGATGGGGCCTGGGTGGAGGTGGGGCACTTGGGGTGTGACCTGGAAGGGTTTATTCTTGTCCCCTGCTCCTTCATTTTCTCTCTTCTTTCTGGCTCTCATGGATTGAACAGCTTTCCTCTGCCATGCCATTTCTGCCTGCAGCCCTCCAGCCATAGACTGAATCCTCTGAAACATGAGCCAAAATAAAGCTCTCCTTTAAATTGAAGTGTCACGTATTTTACCTAGTAATGGCAAAGTGACTAGTAAACCCCCTCCCTCTCCCTTTTATGTCTCTTGGAAGAGGATAGGGATTCAGGGAGTGGGCTGCTTGGTCACAGGTAATGCACTGATTCTTTTAAAAAGAAGAGGGCAGTTAGCGTTTTGGCAACCACTATGTGACAGCTTGGACACCCCACTTGCTCCAGAGGCTGAAGTAGAAATCTGGTACCCCTGGCAGAAGGGAGAGGATCTCATACTGTAAGAATGTAGCATCTGGCCTCCATCTAGTGCTCCTCTCCTTGGCTCAGCCAAGCAGCGTGAAGCTTCTCGACTGCGTCCCGGTTCCTGGCCACACCACGGTGAGGTCCCAGGAGCATCTTGGAGCCCCACCTCCATCCGGCGCTCCACTTAGCTTCGAAGGTGCCAGCAAGGCCCAGTTCCACTGCCCCCCCCGCCCCCGCCTTCCGGCTCTCCTGCTACCTGGTCCCACACTACAGAGGCGCAGGGGATTATACGTCACATAGTTAAATGTGATAGATTAATAACTACCACAAATTGTCATTTTCTAAGCTGTGCTTGATGCTATGGTATTGCAGATTGTATCATTTGGCCTAACATGTTGTGATTGATCTAATCAGTTTTCCTTCCTGGTATAAGCAAAATAAAATAGCCTCAGAGTCATTAGAGCC